AAAGAGATAAATATAAATAAACAAGATAAGAATATAAATAAGATAAGAGTTAACTAAGTGGAGGAAAAGAAATGAGAAGTATAAATAAGAAATTAATATAAGTAAAACTTAAGCATTATAATAACGAGAGAGCAAAAGCATGATCTTGATCTGAAAACAAAGATTTCTAAATGCATGAAAAATACCTTCTTTTATAGGCCAAAATTGAAAACTATTGATAAAAATTCATGTTTTTTCAATGTGGGATAAAAAACCTTTTAGTTTAAATACTTCAACTTAAAAAGATAACATAATATTTTTTCAATGTGGGATTTGAAACCCTTTCGTATATATACTCTATGCTCCCATGAAAAAAATCATGTTTTTTCAATGTGGGATTTGAAACTTATTAGTATAAATACTATATATTTTCAAGAAAAAAATTATATTTTTTCAATGTGGGATTTGAAACTTATTAGTATAAATACTATATGTTTCAAAAAAAAACATTATGCCTTTTCAATGTAGAATAAATTTTTTTAAAAAATATTCTTTTAAATTTCATTGTTTACAATATGTATAATTTATATTTATATAGATTTTTTTTATATGAAATATTAAAACTTTATTTTTTTTTAAATTTTTCCGGGTCGACCCGGGTTGACCCCTAAAACCCGGAACTCTGCCCCTTGACCGGGTCAATCTCTGGGCCGGGTTTAATAACTATGCTTACAGGTAATAGGGGATTAGCGAGGATTTTATTTCTAGAAGCCTAATCCATGTTTTGAACCGGTGATTAAGAAGGAAACACATCCTTTTTTAATCAACAAGCCTATCCAACATTAAAATTTGCTAGAAACCGTTTGCATGTGTAAATTTTACATTTAGTGACTTCGATCCAAGCTTAGGGTTGCGCTGGATGAGAAGCTTAACATGCATTGGGTCCATATTTCTTGTATCAGACTAAATGTGGGTAAATTTCAATTTAAGTTAAACAACATGTGTGTAATGCCTAGTACAAATTATGCCATTTGTTATTAAATCTAGAAAGTATTTAAGAGTGGTTTTTCAAAATATTTTTTTCAAAAAAAATATCAAAATAATATTTTAAAAAAAAACTCATTTCTTTCCTCAATACATTAAAACAATCCAAAAAATTTTAATTTTAATAAAAAAAATATTAAAACTCATTCTCAAACACTTATCAATCCATGCATGCTTTTGCAAACATAGAGGAGCTTACTTACCTCAAAACTAAAAATTTGAGACTGATGAGTTATAGAATCATCCTACACATAAACACATCTCGTTTTCTATTCCTTTTTAATGTAGAGTAGTTCAAATAGGCGACTGGTGTGTCTTTCTCTGTGTTGGAGAGATCAAATCAATATATACTCTAATTAAAAACTATTAGGTATGTATTATTGGATATTTTCAATGTTGAAGCTCTTAATAACATATATAGAGAGAAAATAAAATACAAAAGTGGCATAAGTTTCAAATGCTCCAACATCGTCCGAAGCATCAGCTCATGATACACACCTCTAGGAGATATAATAAAAGCACACCTACAGTAGAAGTAACAAAAGCACACCTACAGTAGAAGTAACAAAAGCACACCTACAGTAGAAGTAACAAAAGCACACCTACAGTAGAAGTAACAAAAGCACACCTACAGTAGAAGTAACAAAAGCACACCTACAGTAGAAGTAACAAAAGCACACCTGCAGAAATTATCGATCTCCACACTTGTAGCCATAGATAGCACACCTATAATTCCTTGTGCATTACATTAAAGACGGAACTAAACAGCTAGAACAACAATCAAGGGATGCCGATGATGGGAAAGAAAGGAACATAGTAACTTGATGGTGCAAGGCCCCATTCCCTTGGCAGAGGCAGGTCAAACGTTTTGGATGAGCCAAACTCGTTGGAGACTCCACATTTTCCACCTCCTGCAGAACATGTAGAGGAGAAGGAAAGAGGAGTGGAGATGGTGTACGAGTTAGAATCATGGGTTTGAACAATCTTGGACACCATGTTTTGTCTTGAGACATAGAGCTGACTTGGACCACCGAGAAGCTTAGCTAGGCAAATCAGAGGAGTTGCTGCCGTTGAGCTGCCTGGAGGAAGCTTAACTTCAAAGGAACCATCGCTTTGTGTGGTTGTTGTGGCCAACTTTCTTACTTTGTCACACTTCACTCCAACCTTAATCTCTGAAAATTAATACAAGTAGGAAATCAAATCAGAAACATGAGACTTAAAGAACATGAATATGTTAGGGTTGGGACAGACCTGAGTAGTCATAATGGCCACCGCAGTCAAGGCAAGACACTTTGCCTTTAAGAACTTGACATGTTGAAAGCTGAATCCCTGAGAGAGCCAATGCAAGAAGCAATACTATAGTGAGTGGATGAAACGCCATTGAAGAAAGATTATATGAGAAGCTAGTGTGAATAATGCAGCCTATAAATAAACCGAGGGACGGGCAAGGGAAACCATATTCAATGAAGGGCCCCCAGGTCACAGTAAGTAGTTGGTGTTGATAAATTGTGCTATTTATTTCGCTTCCCTACTTCCCGTGAAAAACTAACCACGAAAGGTCAAAAGATTCTTTGTATCTTACAATACCTGGTGGAAACAAGTTCTGACATTAATTTAAAGAGCCAAAGACTACATTGTTAGTATAATAATTGATGATGTTATAAAGTTCAGATTTATGTTGTTGGATAATAAATTAATTATTTAGTTTTTTTAATTCAATTTATTCATGAGTGATAGTTTAATGTGTAAAATCAAGTATATGTAAAAGGTTATTTTTAGTAGATAAAAGAATTCTTGTATACTTAAATAAATATTTTTGTAAAGAAAGAATATAATGATATTTTAAATATATATATATATATATATAAAAAGAGAGAGAATTGAAAAATTATAATTTTTTTGTCTGAGTGATTCATGTTATATTTACAATACATAAATCTTTTTTTTTTTTTGCTTAAATAGAAAGGCTGAAAAGTAATTTTAACCTTATAAATTAATATTGTTAGTTATTAGCTATATTTCACTCAAATATATTAATGAAATGAAGATATGGAAAGCTATAAGATAGTTTTTGTAGGTCAAATAACATTTAAAATAAAATATATTAGGTTAGTAAAAATCTCAAAAAAGTTATATGAGATCCAATGTTTTCAAAATAGGCCCATAAACTTTGTATAGGCATATGGGTGTTGAGTTCAAACATTGCACCCAAGCTCAATAATAGTTTGGTTCAGACAGGCTGTATATATATTTTTTTTTTATATAGGTTTTGGAGAATTTTAGACCAATTAAATTAGACTCAGAATAATATAAAATTTTGTTTTAAAAACTACCGATAAATCTTAATCCATTAATAATCAAAGAAAATTTAACCTAATTTTTAAAAAAGGAAATAAAACTAAATTTATTTAATTAGATTTTAATTGTTAAATCTAAGTTTTAGATTAAATAATAAATTATAAACTATAAAAAGTAAAATGAGCATTGATACAAAGTAACAAATAAAAAAACTAAACTAGTATACCAACAAAAAAAATTAATTATTAACAAATTAAATCATATTTACTTGTTAAAGTGCCATATTATACTATATAACAAAAAGATGTTATTATTGCTAAATAAAACTTTTTTACCATTTAGTTTAAGTAGTAAATGCATATTTTCTCTTAGGATTCAATAATTATACTACTTCAAATTGATGCACTTCAACAATAAAACTAAGTATCTCATCAAAAAAGGAAAAAACACACACTAAAACTAGCTAAATTTAAGAAAGCTAACTCTCTTTTATCTCAACATAAAAACTAGAATAATTATAAAATATAAAAGTAAAGGAAGATAATATAGAAATAATAAAAAAAAATTGTTGATTTTTTATAAACCAACAACAACCTCTATATATAATACTTAAAAAAAAAAAGAATTTCCTTCTTTTTTTTCGTTTTTAATGTGGGAGAAAAGCTTTACACACACACAGAGGTCTTGAAAAAAAGGAAAAACTTTTGTTTTTCTAACATGGAATAAAAATAATACACACACACATATAAGCCTTGAAAAAGAAGAAGAATATCCAATTTTTTCAATGTGGGAAAATTTTATTATCGGATTTTGGTATTTTTCCAACTCTACCGAGGATTATTTCAAATCAATTTCTCATTCACCTAAAATTGGTTTTAGACATTATAGTATTTCATGTTATAGTATTCATGTTGGAGAACATTTTTCAAACAAATTTTTAATAAATAAATAAAAAAGGATGGATCTCACTTTTAATTAGACTTTAAATGTGCTTAAAACCATGTTTAAAACTTTTTCAACAATCTTCTATGTGAATGGATATTGATTGACCAATATATAAAAAAATATAGAATTATAAGAGGAAAGAGAATTGTTAGGTCATTTGAAATGAGTCTAAATCATTATTAAAAGAAAGATAATGAAATTATATTATAGCTTCCCCTGATCCTAAGCTTACAGTAAAAGTTATGGAAATTGAAAAAAAAATTAAAGATAAAACAAAGAACATAATTTAAAAAACAATGTGAATTGATAAACCCTAGCTATGTTTCTCGGCAGGTTCGAGGTAGCCAGGCCTTCTAGATGAATGTGATTTGCTACAAGACAATTTCCTGTCTTTTTGCAATCCTTCCTCCTTTTTTTATTATCATTCTTTGGTAGTTTAATTTTTGAATTTCAAATGAGGCTTGCTAGCTGTGATCTTGATCTGATTTGCATGTTGACCTGTTCTTTTAACTAAATAGTGTCGTTTGCCTTAAAATTAATTTCCTTACCAGTTATCAACAATAAAAGACTTAAAATTAATCTCCTTGCTAGCTATCAACTACAAAAGACTCTTCACTCCAACCTTCCATATAAGTCAATCTCTCTCATCCTAACCTTACACATGCTTAACCTACACGTGCTTACCTTATCTCTTTTCTAGCAAGCATCTTATCTACATCACACTTTTTCTTTCCCGACCGCAAAGGATTTTGCCCCCCGATTCTACTCATGGACTACAACATCATTATATCAAAAACAGATAACTTTTGACTTTAGATATTCCTTATGAAATACTATTGAATTTATTCAGCTAATTAGAGAACATGATATCTTTAACTATCAAGACTTTCATGTAAACCAACATAATAATACTCGTATTCTTCTATACATCGAGTTTTCTTTAGTTTTTATGGTTGTGTTCATTTTAACCTTGAACAACTCCTGATTTTCTAAGTGCTCTAAAGCATTCCACCCTTTTGAAATTATATTAAAAAAAAACTGACATATTTCTCACTCATATAAGTATCTTTTATTAGATGTATTTTGTTATACTCCACTTAGTATACCAAAATATAAAAATTATTAAGAATACAACTCACATTATCATGTTGTAACTAACTCCTTTTTTCATCATTGTAACTCACATTATCATGTTGCAACTGACTCTCTTTTTCATCATTGGAATAAGTAAGAAATAATTATTTCAGAGTGTTATTAAAAATATCACAGGACATAGTTTTTCCTTTAAACCTAGATATTGAGATATTTAATCAACTAGATAGTGTTACCATTATGAAACTCTTTTATACTTAATGGCTTTAAGCTCATTTTCTTTAATGAATTATAAACAAACTTTTAGTAAGCAAATCAATAATATTTTCCTTTAACTTTACATTGTCAATGTAAATAATTCAATTTAAGTATAAGTTTTTAACAATATTATTTTTATGGCATATATATCTACACTTACCATTATATTATTTTGTGTCATTCTAATTATTAATAGACTATTGCAATAAACATAAATTGCTAATATTGTTTTTAGAAAAAATAGAGTACCCTCTAGGAAATCCCAAATCTATTTGACTTCCTCTTAAGCTTTTATAAAGAAAAATAAACTTTGATTTCATCATAAATTGTGTGATATATATTTAATTAGAAGATTTTTAAGACATAGTTGCTCCATTAAATATTAAAACATATACACCAGTGGATTTTAAATTCTTAATAAAAGATATCCAATTTATATCATTAAATCCTTCTAATACCACTAGATATCGAGTATAGTATAGCCCATATTCTAAAGCATGCATCAAATATTTGAGAACCCTATATTCTTTGATTGCTTATAAATCTATTCAGTTTGTCAATAATGTATGCAATATCTTATCTTATGTATTTCATAACATATATCAAACTTCAATTATTTAAAAATATTTCAATTAGTGTTATTACCATGTGTTATTATTGTCTTTAAAAAGAAAATTCAAGATTTATCTCAATATAAAAAGATTGAAACAGTAATAATTCATCAAATGACCTAGAATTTTTTTATTCCTAGAATGACATCTACAACACCTAGGTATTTCAAGTCAAACTTGTTAGTTAATAATTTCTTAATAGACTTGATTATGAAATCATTGTTGTAAAAACTTAAAATGTCATCCATTTAAAGATATATAATAACATAACCTTTATTTATGTTTTTCACATAAAAACTTCTATCAACTTTGTTGATTTTAAACTCATTTAATAATATAACATTGTCAATTTTTTCATGTCATTGTTCATTTACTTGTTTTAAATTATATAATAACTTAACAAACTTACATGCTTTTTTTTCTTACCATTTAACAATAAACCCCTTAGCTTATACTAAGTAAACCTCTTTATCAAATTCACCATTTAAGAAAGCTCTTTTTACATCCACTTAATGCATTTCAAGCTTGTTAATAGTTGAGATATCTATTTATATTTGTGTTGAAGTAATTCTGGAGAGAGATGAATATATGTCAAAATAATCCACTTCTATTTATTGTTTGAATCCCTTAAGAATAAGTCTTGCTTTATTTAATAGTCTCATTAGCTTTCATCCTTTTCTTGAAGATCAATGTATAATATAATGACTTACTTCTTGGTGGAAAATTCACTAGTTTTCATATATGATTATGTATAATGGATTTAATTTTATTATTAACTACCTCTTTCCAATTAAAAGCTTCAAGATAGAATATCATCACGCGTAGTTTTAAGGTTCATTTTTTAACAAGTATGATAGAAAATTAAGACTAGATATTTTATCATTTCTCCCTTTTTACTCATTCTTGGCTTAACTTTGTCAATTTCTAATTGATGATAATTATTTGAGTTAACTTTATTTTTCCTTTTAAATGAATAAATTTCATGTGTTTTCTTAAATAAAAATATTTTTCAAATAATATAACATTTTTTATTCAAATATTATATTAAAATAAATATTCTCAATGCTTGATTTGTTTGTAAATAATCAATATCTTCAATGCTTAACATTGTATTCAAATCTATCAAATACACAATCTATAATTTTAGGTCCTATATTGATCTTTTTTGGACAAGGTAATCTTATTTTTTACAAGACACCTTTACA